TAGACTAAGAACTTGTTATTGGTGAACATGAAGATCCTCACAGTATATATATATATATATATATATATATATATATATATATATATATATATATATATTTATAATATGAATTGGCCAGTTATGTAAAATCATTTAGGTCAGATCAATTATGGAATGGCAATTAACCACCTGATCTGTATTTACTATTGTGCTTCTTCAAAGTTGTATTAGTATTTTTAAAATATTTTATTTTTTTTAGAAAGAAAAAAAATATGAAGATCCTCATATTGTTTTAGCATGATGTATAAAATTGTAAAAATATTTTAAATATATAAAAAATTTGAGCTAGATTTGAGCTTTTTAAGCTCCATTTGGATAATAGCTTAAGAAAAAGAAAATAAAAGTGTATATATATATATATAACTAAATATATAATACAAAATAAAAAAATAAGAAAATATATACTTTGAAGATTTTTTTTTTCTGTTTTTCTCATTAATTCACTTCAAGAAGAAACAGAAAAAATATTTTTAGGAGAATCGGATTCCCCTGATCTATGCATATTTCCCGAAATCGATTCCTCCCCACCTACGTGTCCCCTGGGAAACGCAGTCGCATTAAGCGTCGTAGCTAATATAAACTGGGCAAAGGCAAAATTGCGTGTATGTGTAGAACTCCGAAGTCGATAATTCTTGTATTTATCTTCTTAAATTAATAATTTGACATATACGTGCCTTCAGAATCTACAAACTTACGTATATAACATTGCAGTTAATCTCCCTTATCGTATATGAGAGAGATATAAAAGGGGTGACGTTTCCGACGCTTTAGGCTTCGAGAACCGCTCTTCCCTTCTCGGATCGAAACCCCTTCCTCCTCCTGGCGGCCCGCCATCGATCGCTTTTCCTGGCTTTCTGCAACTGCGGGGAAAAAGGACGGTTGTCGATCCTCGATTACCGGTCGATTTCCGTCTTATTTAGTTAGGTTTTGTTATTTGATGATTAATTTATGGGTTTCGGCTGGTTTTGATGGTTTCTTGGATTGGTCGGGGGCTTGTCAAGATTTCAATTCTACGTCATCTTTTCGTTCCTAATTGGGTTAATCGAGAATGTCGCTGTCCCTGTTGCAGGAGTCTTGTGGTGTATGCTTGCTTGCATTCTCCGTCTCCCTCTCCCCTTTCGCGTCGCTGGATGGACACATATTTGAGGGAGCCCTAATCGGGTCTACGTGAAGGAGAGGGGGGCGGGTACAGGAATGTTCTCGGGGTGGGACTTCTCGCGGTCGGGCGCGATCAAGCGCGTGTGCAAGTTTCTCTTGAAGAAGAAGCTGGGGGAGGTGATATTGGGCGACATCGACCTCGACCAGCTCGATGTTCAGCTCAGCACCGGCACGATCCACCTCTCTGACCTCGCCCTCAACGTCGATTTCCTCAATCAGAAGGTGATCGCGTTGCTCCTTTCCTTCTTCTTTCCCGTATTCCTTTTCGTCTAGGATTTCCTTCTTTTGTTTTTTTTTTTGTTTATTTTCTTGAATTGCAACTGGGGCCTGAGGCTGTAGTGGTTTGTTCGTTTTGTTGGTGAATCTTGGATTGTTCCCCAGTATGGTGATATAGGCCAACATGACCATGATTCTTGTGCTATCCTGTATATATTAACAATTGAATATGGTAAAATAGTAGAACCATGACCTTAGGATTATGCCAATATGGTAGAGAAGGAACCAGTCTTCTAAAGAAGGACCTGCATACCACCAGTCCATACTGCATACCTTTACAGCAAGGTGTGTCGCCATACACTGGGAAAAAACACATTTCTGCTAGAGTTGTAGTTGATGTTCTACATGCCAATTTGCATCAACTGATATGGTTAAAACAAACCATTATTTTTGTCCATGCCACTGAAAGAGGATGAGAGGTTGGGAATGAGAAATTTGGGTTTTGTAGGCTCTTTTGTTGTGGTTGGAGCTAGAGGGTTATCATTTATGTGGCATTATATTGAGTGTTCAAATAGATAATAAGCTTTGTAAAACCATTGATAAGTTATGGTGCACCATTGGGTAAAATTATTAAAACAATTAAAATGAATGATATTGTGTCAGTATTGAGCTATATGTTGCCATTCTGGTCTGTATATAAATCCGTAGTGAAAACTCTTTTAATGGCAGATTATTTATGGAACAGCATATTTGAATGATAAACTTCTAGGTTGTCTGCCTTAATCATATGAGCTAGGTATCTCTCTTGCAGTTAATCATCCAGTTACATAAATGTTGTTCTGGAATTTTCTATTAAGAAAATTAACTATTTCATTGTTGACATAGTCTATCCTCGCACATGTTCCATTCCAGTGCAAGGATTGTGGGCCAACTTTTGAAATCATTATTGATAATGTTATGTGAATTGTGGACAGAAGAACTCATAAATAAGACATTTAGTTTTTGTTGTTTCCTAAATTTAGTTTTCCAATACTTTGAGTTGAAATTTGGCCTTATTTATTGATGAAAGTGGTTGTAATATTTTGTTTTGATAATTCTTTTGTTTTTAGAGTTACACTCTGTTTAAAGTGTTTGTCTCATGTCTGGCAGGTGATTGTCTTATCTCATAGTGCAAATTTTAGCTCAAGTTGTTTACCAATTAGCATGTATTTTAACTCATGTCACTATTTACTTTTTTCCTTCCATTTATATGTAAGTTTAATTTTTTTATTCTTATGTTCCAGATCGCTGGTGCACCAATTGTGGTCAAAGAAGGATCGCTGAAATCCTTATCTATTAAGATACCTTGGAAGCTAAGGAATTGTGAGATAGAAGTTGATGAACTTGAGCTTGTGCTTGGACCATTTAGTGAGAGCAATATCCCTCCCACAGATGCTGATTGTTCACCATTGAGTCATGATGGTCAACAACGAATAAGCACCAAAGTTGACAAAATTGAGCCAGGACCTTCCCAAGATTCCTACAGTTCTATTCCTGTGGATGTGCATGAAGGAGTCAAGACAATTGCCAAGATTGTGAAGTGGATCCTCACAAGCTTTCATGTTAGGCTAAAAGGAATTATAGTTGCATTCGATCCCCGTTCAGGTCTGGATGAAAGCGGAGGCATGTTTCATAGACTTCTGGTTTTTAGAATCAAAGAAATTGAGTTTGGTACTTGTGTTTCTAAGGATTCTATGGCAAAGTTGATGAATTTTGTAAAATTTCAAGAAGCTAACTTGGAGTTTCTTCAGATGGATGATATTGACGATGGTCCTGAGCTTCACAGTGTTACTGGGAGAAGTTTTAATAAAAGATGTTTAGGTTGTGGTACCATTCCAGTTTTGTCTGGGGTAAGTGGTGGGTTCTCAGGCACATTGAACTTAAGCATCCCATGGAAAAATGGATCCTTGGATATTCATAAAGTTGATGCAGATGTTTCTGTAGATCCCATGGAATTAAGGTTGGAACCCAGTTGTATTGAATGGGTCATTGCCATGTGGCAAACACTCTCTACTATTGGAGCATCATCTTCATGGACTCACTATCATCAAGCTGCAGATTCCTCTAATTTAAATTGTAGAAGTCATGATCGATTATCTATGTCACATACGATATATCTAGATGCTGATGGCGAGACATCATTAAAGGATAGTGAATTTAGAAGCATAAATTCTACAATTACTCCAGAAAGAGCATTAGATCCTTTGGTTATGAGGAATGTAATCCACAATTGGGTCCCAGAATATGTTTATCAAGAAGATAAAAGTGAGCTGGAGCCAGATTATGGTGCAAGGTTATATTGTCCATACTCATTATATAATTATATATATGCTCTCCTTCAGTCATCATCTCGTCATTTTGATTTTGTACCCCTCTTATGGGAATTCTTGTTTTATAGAGTAGAATTTGAATTCTTATGTACACTAGCACAGTGAATTCTTTGTTCCATATAGGCACTCCTTATATAATAATTCTTGTGGATGAGACCACATCCTATCATATATTTGTTAGCTTGACATAAGTAATTTTTCTCATTTTTTGCTATTAGATTAGAATAACATCTTGAAAAATAAATTTATGAAAAAGTGTTTCTAAATAGAAATGCTGTCGAGCGATATCTTAGACGTTGCTTTTCTTTTCATTGTACTTTTATTTGTTCTCGCTAGTACAGAATTACAATTTGTTTCATTTGAGGTGTAAAATAATTCTGCTCAAACATGGGAACTTACATTTGAGACTCATTGATCAGTAGCACTTTTTATGGGTGCTATACACACTTTCTCACCGCTCCAAAGACCCAGTATCTTGATTGCACCAATTAGTCGCCTGTGAACTGCAATATGCTGGAGAACAGTATCCTGGTTGCCTGAGCACCCCCAAAAGCTCACATGTCATTTGAGACTGAGGTTTGTTGTGCCATAGCATACCGTTCGATACAGTCTGTGTGTATCGGGCCTACAGGGGACTGCTTTGGACGGTATATACCGGTTTGTTGGTACGTTCTACCATACCATATGTCATTATATCGGTATGGTTCAATACATATCGTACCAATGTTCGGTCGGTACACCAGTACAAATCGGTAAGGCAAATCATGTTTGAGATTTTTGAGTTTGTACAACAACAAAGCCGTAAGTTTCAACTATTTGGGATTGGCTATATGGATCTTTTACCGCCATTGAAATATGTAAATAACCATATGCTTAGTGAAATCGGTTAAAATCCATATTCATGAGATCTGACATAATTTTACGCTAGTTGTCAGTGACCTAATGCAATCCTTCACCTTTTCATCTGAGCTTGAGATCAGCATTAGCGGTGTTAGACTTCTGAGTTAGTATCGGGCTAAAGTCTAGGATGAATTAGATATTAAACAGACAGAACTTTGGTTATTAAGGTTTTCAGGTATCGTTTCATTAGCACCTCAGATAGGAATATCCACAATTTCTTTTTCCTTTGCAAAAAGGCGTCAGTTGCAAATTGTATGTTAGCTTCAGAAATTTTGTCAAGAAGCTTTATGAAATTGAACTGAAATGCTAAAGTTTCTTAATTATCTACCTCTATAGAATTAAATGGGTAATTGCTGTCAGTCTGTAAGGTGTCAATTTAGGTGAATTGGACAAATTAGATAACAGCAAATTGTTCTAAAATTTCCTTTAGTTTCCTTGACTTCCACTGGATTTATTTTTAGTTCCTATTAGATTTAAACTTGACTTATGACTTGCTTGTTTCTTTCACATTGGGAAAACAAACATTTATCTGGATGCCTACTTCCACTAAAGTAGCATAACATCCCTTGGATGCACATTTTAAAATGCAAGCATGTCTATGTTTAATATAATATTCTATATCAGTGCATCCCTACACTTTAACAGATGAATATATAATTCATCGTTTATCTATGAATAACCAATGTTGCCAGATCCTTCTGAAAAACTTGCTAGTTCATAAACCTTTTCATTCAATGCTATCTCTGTTGATAGTGCACAGTTAATAGTTCTAATGTGATGAATGCAATTTAGTTGATATAATCAAGTCATAGAATCTTGATTTCATTGATACTGTGAAGGATTTCTCAATTCATTAATGTATATCTACTGCAGCATTGATCAGTTTTTTGAATGTTTTGATGGAATGAGGAGCTCCCATGCATATTCTGCTAGTAGTGGTATATGGAACTGGACATGTTCTGTTTTCAATGCTATATCTGTTGCATCCAATCTTGCTTCTGGAATGGGAGATGTTCCTAAAGGTAACTTCTGTTGATCTTTGTGAGTTCCATTGCTATCTGTTGCTGTCTCAGTGTTAATCCTCTAACTTGCTTTGAGAGATATTATTTGTTTGTATGGCTCATTTGAATGACATGATACTTCTGTTTCTGCGGAATCATGAAGGTTCAATATCTAGTTGGTCTGTACTATGGTATCGTTGAAAAATAATGAACATCAATTGGTAAGAAGCTATATGGGCCTTGGTCAGACCCATAAATACTGATCAGTGCATACTAATCCGATCAGTGTTTGCAATCTTGTCTATCATTATACCATTATACTTGTAGTATTCCCACTGTATAAATCAAGGAATTCATTTTGGTATACTGGAGCTGTATCAATCTAGGCTTGGACCTGTATGGGTCTGACACAGTCCATTGGTATGCAATTGAAGATTTGTTCTCACATTTTCTTGCCAAATACAATCAATTTTTATAACAATAGATACTAAATCCAAAAATATATAAGATAAAGATCACAAGCAGTATTTAAACTTTAAAAATACATGTAAGGATAAAAGAGATATGGACTACATTGAAGGATCAGGTCTAGATCCGTATGAATCTGGCTTAAATCTACAAGAACCAAAGCTTGATCTTTGTAAATTGTCTTAAATGAGGTCTAAATGGAAGAGATGTAAGCTTAGGTTGGAAGTGAAAGCATAAACCTTAACCTAATTGCATGAAATTATACTGGAGATTAGGTTCAGATTTTTCTTGTTCTGAAGAGAAATTGGATCCAATCTTGAACTCCATCTTTTTCTTGAGCAAATGGTTCTCCCATCAATGTTCTTGAATGATTTTGAAAGAGAATTGTGAGATATTTAGGAGAGATTTAGAAGGGAATAGGAGTGAACAAAACAGAGTATGTTGGAGAGAACAAAGAAGTGAGTGAGGCAGAGGGTTTAAAGCTGGTTGGTGTGTCTTTGGCTAAGGTCACTACCTGGTATCGTTACTGGTACAAACCCATTACTGGGCGTATACCAAGCGGTAAACCCCATTACAGCGGTTACCGACAGTAACCCCTGTACCTGACCTGAATCACCCGGTTGGGCTTGGTCTACATCCCGACAGCTGGCCAGACCAGTAAATACCACATATACCTTACCAGTCCAGTTGGTTTTGCAACCATGGTTCAAATACTTGTTTTTAAGTTTTTGTCTTCTTAAAATGAGCATTTTCTTAAAATGATATTTTTGTTTTCTGCAGTTATTGTTAAGATCTAACATCTAGTCAGACTGTTCCATGGTTTCACTGAAAAGTATAATAAGATAATGAATACCAACTGGTACCGAGCTATATGGTCCGTGGTTGGACTTGAAAATACTGGTCGGTGTGTACTTATCCGATCAGTATTTGCAACCTTGGTCATCATTATACCATAATAGTTGTAGTGTGCCCATTTTTCAAATATTAGTTTTTAACATTTTTTTACTACTTCTAAAAGTAAGCATTTTCTTAAGCAGCCTTCAAATGCTCGAAATATTTTAACTGTGTAAAGTCAACTTTATGTCTCATTCTTTTGTAAACTGAATTATAGTTATAACAGGATTCAAAATTTACCTTTAGAGCATCACTCTTGTAAACTGGTTTTGTTGTTTGATCCTGAACAGGGTATTAGTTTTAAATTAATAATTTTAGCACAAAAAAGTCATAAAAAGACTATTGTATCTTCTTTGCTACATCAGAATTCCATTAAGATTTTTCACGTACAACATTTTCCGAGACATTCAAGACTTGAATCAGTAACTTTTGTTTCCTACATCTTTCCTGCAACTTTTAGTTCCATTTATCTCCCTTATATGCCTGTTATCAATATATTACCGTACTTAAAATTCAGAACCTTTGTTCCTACATGCACTTTCTACATCTTTGCTGCAACTTTTAGTTCCATTTGTCTTCCTTAGATGCCCCTAATCAGTATATCACCCTGCTTAAAATTCAGAACCATAGTTCCTACATCTTTGCTGTAACCAGCTTTGCATGATTTTGCACTGGTCAATTCAAGGTTTTTGTAACTTTCATGGTGCATGTCTATGTACTAGCATGACACATGGGCACAGGTCTGGCACCTAGCCAACACAGTATTGTTATGTTCTTGGCGTAACATGAAACCTTGTGCTTATTTTGATCTGGCACAATTGTCATATGTGCCAGTATCCAAGGGTTCGGATGCCCTTTTTTTTGCTCCAAGCATTCATCATTGCTTGTAAACTTCTTGCATGATAGCCAAGTGACAAATTTATTGATTAGAATTCATAATTGTGTTATGTTATAGCAACTATTTTCCAGAGCTTGTACATTAATTGTAGGCTAAACATTTTTTCATTCTTCCTGATGCAGAACAACATGTGGAGACGAGTTTACGAGCTGTAATTGCTGATATATCTGTTATTCTTTTTCTCAGTGATGAACAGCAGTATTTACATGGTTCTAACAAATTTATTGACCCATCAACGAGTGAGCTAAGCTCCGAGTCTTATATGAGCTGCCTTTCATCAATGAATACTAATGTTTCCACTGTCAGTGAAGTTAATCCTGTTAATAGAAAGATGCACTACCTTGCAATGAGGTGTCAGAATGTAGTTCTAGATTTGGAGGTAAAAATTCATCTTCTTTGACTGTTTCTTATTCATTGCGTTGTCAATATTTTGAAGCTTTTGTTTTGAATTTTCTTTATGTTGGCTAACTTTGCACATTTGATGTAATCAACAGACATATTCTCAAGATACGAAGTTTAATGCATCAGTAAAGCATATCGAAGTTGATGCATACCACGATACTCGAAACTGTGATGCAGGAATTTCATCAAATAATTGCAAGAATGACTCCAATGAGCAAATGTTTTTGAGTCACTATTTGCAGGAAAAAGTCCAAAGTTCTCTCCCACCATTTCCTTTTCATATACGATATCATGCTTCAGAATCAGCGGTGGAGGATAATGCTGTGAATGGCCTGGTCCAAGTTAGATTGTTGGAATCATTTGGTGACTGCAGCTGTAGGTTCAATGTCAACTCCAAAACCTCAAATGGTGTATCAATGACATTGACATCATTTGTCATCGATTTGCCACCTTTTGTTTTGTGGGTTCACTTCAACCTATTCATTGTGTTGCTGGATCTTTTTAACAGAGTAGAGTCTTCCTTAAAAGAAAATAATGTTTCTGAAAATGTTCAACCTAATATGCAGAATAAAAGAAATAGGATATCATCTCCTGATGTTGCTGAAACTGGCATCTCTAGTAGCATAGCCACTGTGTCTCCAAGAGCATCTTTTCAAGGAAATATAATTATTGCACAGGCAAGGATAATAATTTGTTTCCCTTCCGAGTATTATGGAGATTTTAGAAACTCAACCTTGTTGGATAATCTTATTATTCTGGAACATTCTTTACCTTTAAACACTGAAGAAACTTCAGGTGTCCTCAAAGTTCCAAAGGCGACTTCTGCAAGAGATCAATCTTGCGCACCTTCGAGTTCACTCCATTTGAGTATAAAAAACTTTGATATTTACATGGTGAAATCTTCAGTGGAAAATGCTTTGGATGATCAAATCTGTAATTTAGGTAGTCAGCTCTTTTGTGCAGTGAAGATTCTATCTGTAAAAGGGTTAACTCATTCTGGAGTTACTATGCTTTGGCAAAAGGGTCCTGTGACTGGTACATGGATGGCAGATAGAGCTTGGAGTTTGGCCTCATCACGTGATCAAAATAGCAATAAGATTATTGGAAAAGGATCTGAATTCTCTGTATCTAGTGGAGAGAACCTTGAGGAAACAAGCTCCAATATCCGCCAGGAGCTGATCCTTAGTTCTGCATTTTTGTTGCATATTAAGTCGTCTTATGTTTGGATCAATCTTGATAATCATGATTATAAGTTTCTGGTTTGTTTGCTAAATAATGTCATTGATAAATGTTCAAGGGAATCCAACAGTATGGACACTAGTACTGACATGGGCATGAAGAATGAACAGATGTCCCTGAGATCCTCTAATATATCTCAAACATCGATTCTTGTGGAATGCAATGCCATTGACACATGTATTAGGCTAAATGAATTAGTTGAGGTTAGTCGCCCATTGCAAAAGGAGCTACAGGGATCATGGAGTTGCTTTAAACTGAAAATTGAGAAGTTTGAGTTGCTATCTGTCTCTAATATTGGTGGAAAAGAAGATGCAAAACTTTTATGGCTCAACCATGGAGAAGGTGATTTATGGGGTTCCATCTGCAGTAGTGATGAAAAAGCTTGTGCAGTAAGACACGAACTACCTTTGATAACCTGTAGAAATTCTGCAATGAGACGTGGCAATGGCGAAGGTGCTAACACATTGGCTTTTGGTCCTGCTGGTACTGTTGTCACACACATTTGGAATCCACAGTTGCACCAAAGTTATACTTCCATAATTGTTCGTTGTGGAACTGTAATTGCACCTGGTGGTCGGCTGGATTGGATCACTGCTGTATGTTTGTTTTTTAGTTCGCCACCCAGAGGGAAAGGGAACCCAGAGGATGATGGAAAGACTCAAGTGTCATTTTTACTGGATCTGGTTGATGTTGCCTTGAGTTATGAACCTCAGAATAAACAATTTCAAGTCAACAGTGAAGTTCCAGGCCTTGACCATAATTTTTATGTTGAACTCAACAAAGAGAAAGACGAAGGGTACACAGCATGCCTTTTAGCTGCAGCATCGTTGAGCCTTTCTGTTCATACTAAGTCAGATCCAACCACTAATTATGATATTCATATGAAGGATATAGGACTCCTTATTTCTGAATCATTTGGTTCCATCACTGATATTGATGGTTATTGCATTAGTTATCTTCAGAAGGCTCGATATTCCAAAGTTGCTCAAGTATCACTTCTGCAGGCCATTTTGAGAATCAGAGGGATGTTCTGGGAAATTGAATGTGAAGAGTCACATATTGATTTAGAATCTTGTCGTGACACGACTTCTGGTCTTTTTCGTTTAATTGCTCAGCTTCAGCAGCTTTATGCACCTGATGTTGAAGATGCTTTAATACATTTACAGTCAAGGTGGGATACTGTTCAACAGACGGACATGGACCAGAATACAAGTTATCTGGCTGATCCTGTCTCAAGCAATTCTGTAGATTTAGGTTCTGGGTTGTCAACTAGTAACAAAGAATGTCAAGCTTATGGGCTTTTGGATGACATACTTGAGAATGCTTTGGAATGCCATCCTAACTCTGATCACTGTGGCATACAATCTCATGTGTCATGTGAACAGTGCAAAGTTGGGGACATATTAAATGTTAATGCTTCAAGAGCTGGTGATGCTTTCGCAGCAAATTATGCTGATTCATCATGCAGCTCAGGAGTGGAAGCTTTTCAAAACCAATCTGACAATGAAAAATCCACACCCCAGGTTATTGAGAGCTACTATGCAACTGACAGGCTTTCGTCATTCCCATTATGCGTTGGCAATAATTCACATTGTGAAGATAACAGTTGTGCACTAGATATTTCATTTCATAGAGATACTGAATATAGAAGAGGTGGATGGTACTTCGGTGACTGCTTGACAATAGTAGAAGATCATATCTCGACAATTCTGAATCAGCCTGATGGGAAATATCTGCAGCAAGGAGAACTTGAATCTGACAATTCAAACTCTGCTGATTGTTGTCTTCTGAAAGGGAGAATACTTCTTAAAAACATGGATGCAAGGTGGCGTATGTACTCTGGAGTTGAATGGTATAAACCAGAGGCAGTTCCTACATGTAGTGTGAATTCAAATGGGAGAGATGTGAGCTTATGCCTGGAGCTTAGTTTGGTAGGATTGTATATTCAGTATGACATATATCCTGAAGGAGAAACTAATGTGTCAAAGCTTTCTCTCTCTGTTCATGATTTTAATCTTTATGACAGAAGCAAAAATGCTCCTTGGAAGATGGTATGTACATTTGACTTCGTTGACAATATCCTCTCACTGGTAAATAATAGTGTTTAAATTTTTTATTATTTTGGTATTGAAGGTTTTAGGTAATTACCACTCAAAAGATCATCCAAGAGAATCCTGTGCTAAATCACTCATTTTGAATTTGGAAGCTGTAAGGCCCAACCCACTGACACCTCTGGAGGACTACAGGTACTTGTCAGATGTTTCATTCTATTATTCAATTCATTTATTTTATTTTGTGATAATTTATCATCTACTTAATCTATAATGATGTGTGCATCATTTTAACTGAAATGCTATTGGTTGCTTTAGCAAATCATTAGTTAGTGCAGTAAACATAATTATAAAGCGCCTCCTAAATTGCGTACTACATTTTATTTTTGTTTATGATATCTATTGTCAAAGTTCAATTTACACTAATGCCTTGCAGTTTTCTTTATTTGCATATCTTCTGGAACAGGTGCTATTAGTCTAGGTGATTCTCATATCTAATTGCTTCCTTTTTATTAGATTATCAATTATAACTACTCAGGTGCTTGAGCGTTGTTGTTCTGAACTTCATTCATACATCACCTTATTTTTCATATAGTGGTGTTTGATTCATATTTTAATAACAAAATAACCATGTAAACATAAGTTGTTTATTTTGTTTCTTTATGATCCTTTGCGACAACGGTAAGGTTGTATGCATTGATCCTCTCACACCCTGTATTAGTGGGAGCCTTGTGTTTTGGTCCATCCTTGCTGCATGTGAGCTATATAAGGTTGCCAATTTTAGATCTAAGTCCACATTATAAATCTTATATATGAAACATGTGCTCTAAAATACTTTTATAACCATAGCAGATATGTGTCAAATATAATACTTGTAGCACACTTATATTTCTGAAGTATGTTTCAAGCAAAGTTCATCGTATCGTGGCATACCATCTAATATAGGCAATATGTACCGGTTCAACAAGGGGTTGGCAATATGTTGATATGTGTCAAATATAATACTTGTAGCACACTTATATTTCTGAAGTATGTTTCAAGCAAAGTTCATCGTATCGTGGCATACCATCTAATATAGGCAATATGTACCGGTTCAACAAGGGGTTGGTATAGCTGGTACATATTGGTATGTTGACATGTCTCATTGTATTATGTGTCGGTACATCAGTATTTTTTGGTGCATACCGTACTGATAGTTGGTTGGTATACTAGTATGGATCAGTAAAGCAAACCATGGTTTTAAGCAATGATTTAAAAAGCGCTAGGCGCCAAGGTCCAAAAACGCCCGAGGCGCTAGGCGCTCGTCTAGGCGCTCGCCCGAGTGAAGCGAGGCGCTAAAATATAAAAATATATAATATAATTAATATAATTATTTAAATAAAAAATATGCTATTAAATTAAGAAAATCGAGTACAAAATCACAATGTTATATTAATAAAAAATCTCAAAAATCAAAACAATAAAATTTTACATCAAATCTATTGAGTTGCTCTGTACACTTGCCATTTATTCTGAAACCTAACAATAATTTTAAATAAATAAAAATTAATAGTATTAAAATCAAAATAATATATTATTAATCTAATAAATAAAAATACTATTATTAGTATACAGTTAGTAGTATACTGTTAATATACTGTTAACAGTATAGTAAGAAGAGTGTGAGAAAACCGAGGCTGCTAAGGCAACGACAGCGGTAGCGGGAGCGGCGAGCGATAGCGGGAGTGAGAACGGGAGTTGCGAGCGGCAGCGGGAGTGGGAGCGGGAGCGGCGAGCGGCGAGCGATGACAACAGCGATAAGCGACGATTGTGGTAGCTTCGAGTAGCGACAATGGCAGCGGCAGTGGCAGCAGAGAGCAACGACAACGGAGAAGAAATCTCGACGGCAAAATCGCGAGTGTTAGGGTTGGGGAAGTCGGGGAAATCGTGAGAGGGAGCCTATCGGTGATTTAGTTGGTTCGATTGAACCAACTAAAGCACTAGAGACCGAACCATACGTAAAACACTGGTTCGGTCACCTGGTTTAACCCGGGCGCTCGCCCGAAGCGCCCGGCGCCTGGGCTCGGGCGAGTGCCTAGGCGGTGCCTCGTTGAAGCGAGGCGCTTGGACATGAAGCGAGGCGCTCGGGCCTCGCCTCACCTCGCCCGAGCGCCTAGGCGAGCGCCCGAGCGCCTATTGAAATCACTGGTTTTAAGTACTCTCTCAAAGTATTTGTATCTTTTATAATTATCAAAATTGATTGAATAAATTTAGGACATTTAGGTGTTGATTCATATATACTTCTTAGGGGATTTTTTTTTCTTAAATTTTAAAATTGATTGAATATTATTATGACACTTGGGTGTTGATTCATGGATAATTTTTGTAGAACCTTTTTATATTAAAGTTAGTGATTAATTTTTTGGTTTGATAGATCGACTCTGTTATTTGCATTAAGCAAGATATGTAATACTGTACCGTACCGGTATTTCGAGGTTGGTTCGGTACGGTATGGTACGGTACCAGCATACCGAACGGTACACTAGGGCTTACTGAGCGATTTTCTCTTATTGTAGCACTGTAGCACTGCTACAGTGTAATGGTCCGTCCGATAGCGGGCGGTCCGCGTACCGGTATGCTGTCGGAGCGGTACATACTGCCCGTACCGAACGGCACCATTCGAAATTACATATCATGACATTAAGCACCAAATTACTTGTAATAAAATTAAAAGAATGATCTTGCTTCATTTACCATGTGAAGCACCTTACTAAGACTCTTTGTTCATGATGAATGCATTAGATATGTTAGTTGTTTACTCCTTTTGGCATAGGCTATTGCTATTTTTATAATTTAAAGTTTATTTTAGTATAATGGATAATTTAAAATTCTAGTTATATGTTGTATTTATCATGGTATAGTACCTATTCTTACTCTACAACCAAAGGTAAGGGTCTGACATATATAATATTATATATTTAAAAAACTTTTTTTTTGTTATCATATCTATTGATTCTATTCCATATAACATTCTATCTTTAAGAGTAGGGATTGCCATAGATAATAATATATAATTAAAGATCAATTTTTATTATCATATCCATGCCATATAACATCCTATTTTAAAGATTTTGTACCAGACCATCCATGCCGTGTTGTATTGGTATCCTATATCTATATTCATGATTCACATTTCACAGCATCTGATTCGCAATAGACCATGATGTTCTGTCAGATACTTTGTATGAGATGGTTCCTCTATTTGATCATTACAAATTAGTTTAGCATGGGAAATAATGCAGGGCAATATGGGAGAGAACATCTGACAAATTTGTTTAAAAGTTAATGTTGGAACATAATATAGGCAAAAAGATAGAATAGCTCTCAATATGGGAGGAAGATAACTTTGTTGAATTTAATGTCAGTAGATTCACCTTAGTATCTTCCCTATTGAGAGCTTAAAAATTATCCAGAGAGAAAACCTGAAATTCTGATTATACTAACCAACTATCCAATTACAATGCCTCCTTTAGTGCTAGATAATAAGCAATTCCTTTAAAAATGACAATAAGATAGAAATTATTTGGATTGACACAATCTTGAACAGTGATTTAAAAAGCGCTAGGCGCCAAAAGGCGCTAAGGTCCAAAAATGCCTGAGGCCCTAGGCGCTCGCCCGAGCGAAGCGAGGCGCTGAAATATAAAAATATATAATATAATTAATAAATATAATTATTTAAAATTAATAATTTTAAATAAACCTAATAATATTAACAGTATACAATATACTGTTAATAGTATACTGTTGTATACTGTTAATAGTATTAACAGTATACAGAAGGAGAAGAAGAGTGTAAGGGGGTGCTGACTGCTGACTGAGAAAAGAGGAAGCAGCAGCGGCAGCGGGAGCCGAAGTGGGAGTGTAAGGAGGCAGCGACAGTGGGAGCGGGAATGTAAGGAGGCAGCGGGAGCAGCGGCAGCGGCAACGAGCAGGGTTAGGGTTGGGCAGTGACAACTGATATCGGTTTTAGTTGGTTCGATTGAACCAACTAACCATCGGAGACCAAACCAGACCTAAAATCCTGGTTCGGTCGTCTGGTTTAACCCAGGCGCTCGCCCAAAGCGCCCAGCGCCTGGGCTCAGGCGAGCGCCCAGGCGGCGCCTCTTTGAGGCGCGTCGCCTGGAAGTTTAGCGAGGCGCTTAGGCCTCGCCTCGCCTCGCCCGAGCGCCCGAGCGCCTTTTTAAATCACTGATCTTGAATAAGAAATACTCAAATCATTGTTTAATTTAGGGGTGCAAGATATCTTGTAGAGACGAAGAAATCTTTGGAAGCATACAAAAGAATTACTTGTTGAGTTAGCTTTGTCGAACTTGCTGGTCTATTCTGGGTTGCATATAATTGTGATTGTTGAGTTTGTTTGATCCTTGGAGGAATGCTAGTATGAAATGTTTGGAGTGATGGATCTACATTTTTGAAGGGGGATCCTTTGAAGTCTATTTGCCTTTTGAAGCTTTAGCCTACTTATTTCTGCAAATGCTGGAGAAAATTTCTGAGAATAATTTAAGGAGGAGTTAAGACACATTTTATTTCATTTTGACCTGTGTACGTTGCATAACCTTTTTTTCTTTTTTTTGCTAAGTTCTGATGATCTTTCAGGTTACATCTTGAGCTTCTTCCTCTCCGGTTGCATCTTGATCAATCACAGCTCAATTTTCTCATCATTTTCTTTGGCAAGGAATCATTTGATGATCCCTCTCCTGTTTCACCGAATAATCTGGATGAGTCTGATATGTCAAAGGCGAGCAGGAGGTTTGGAAGCCAAATAATAGTAGAAGAGGCTCTACTTCCATTCTTTCAGGTTAGTTCTTAGAACTCATTATTTTTCTTTCCTGCACAATTCAAATCATAGCTTGATAACAAATGTATGCTTCTGTTAATATTCCTTGATTGTTACTTTTTAGTTTGTATTTATAGGTAATTATCTATTTGTAGGAAATTCAAATCATAGCTTGGTAACAAATATATGCTCTGTGTTGTTGAATTTTATCTTCAACTGTGTTATCAAGAATAAAAATATATGCCCTTGTAGATACTTATTCATATTAATAGGAAAATGGTGCTTAATTGTTTTTTTCCTAGTTGCTCCAGATTAAATAACATGGAATAACTATCAATTAATTTTGCAGTCTTTGATATATTTAACAAGTCCTTTCTTGAATGATCTATGCCATAAGACTATGCCTCACGGGGATCACATATGGTCCAATCCAATATAAGCCATTTGTTAATCAACAATTTGATCTAAATTAGTGACCTGATCTGGTTATCCGATCGATTATCAGATCAGTTCCTGATTGACCTTGGTCCAATCTGTTTATGGCTTGATTTATCAAGTCGGTCAAAATGTCCAGAATTAATAGGTCTAGAACTTGATTATATGGTGTCTAGATAAAATTCGAATAACCCTTTTTGGGATGTGCTCAAATCAGTTCAGTTTGCAGATTAGATATTTGATCCTTGACTGGATTGGGTTTGGGTTAACTTTTAGTTTCTCCATCATATTGTTAAACTGCATTGTATCTTTAGATGATGGATATATCTATGAAACTCTGTGCTGCCCTGCAGAGTAGTTAGTTGAAACTGATTTCGATCTCTAAGAACCACAATTGGATTAAAATTGAGTGTGTCAAGAAAGCAAAAAATTGTTTTGTAAAGAACAAAATAGTTCCATATAATATGGTTGTGTTCATGGTTTCTTTTGCTACCATGACAATAACAGTTTTATGAAGATTAGACTCTGCTACCTACGTATATTACTGAAGCAATTTCTGTTACATTTCTCTCTTGTTATAGCAATATACTTGGCATCACACTGACCTTCATTTCTGAACTTTTCCTGATATGCCTCATTCTAGAAATGTGATGTGTTGCCTGTGATCTTACGCGTGGACTATATTCCTCGTCATTTTGATTCAGCGGCACTAAGAAGAGGAAACTATGCAGAACTTCTCAATTTAGTTCAATGGAAGGTATCTCTCTAACTTAGACTTACTTTTTGTTGGTTCTTTAAAATTATCACAAGTTGAAGGGACATAGAGCTGACTAGATCAGTTCCTCTGAAGACTATACCTTTGAGAATATTTTGTCTTTAGTATTTAATTTTCAGAGACTAATAGGTTGGCTGGTAACTTGAGCCCCCTGATGATGAGCAGAATGTTAATAATGAGCCCCTCATCATGTATCAATATGGCAATTCATAATTAAGTGAATCGTACTTCATAGTGATCTACTGATGTGATGAACTATCATAACTTTTATCAATCATATTCGGAATCATCAAATATGTTTTAGAGCCCTAAAACAGTAATTAAGAGAAGTTAAGCCTATATAAATCATTTCTTTTAATTACCAAATTTCACTTTGTACTTCTGTTTGCTTCTAGATTTACATTTGGAAAAATGATATTTAGTTCCCTTGCATACTTCTGAAGCTTTTTAACTTCGTAGCATAAAGGATTACAATTTTGTACTGGGTTACTATATCGGTCAGGGATTGGACCGGTACGCACCGTGATTACCAGTGTACACCAGTATATACCGAGAGGAAGAAAAAAAGCTGTGAATTGGAAGGAAGAAGAGAAGGAATTGAAGGAAGAGGAGAAAGGGGATGGAGGAATAGGAGGTGGTGAAGGAGAGAAGGCTGTGGATGAAGAGGGAGAAAGACGAATAGGAAAGAAGAAGAGGAGACAGTATAGGAATATGAGGAAAAGGGAAGAAGAGGAGACGTTGAGGAACAAGAGGAGGAAAGAGGAGGAAGTGGAAGAAGATGAGGCAATGGAGGAAGAGGAGCATAAGAGGATAAGGAAGTGTACCCGACATTGGCAGCGCATGGTCGGTGGCGGGGAGGTAGCGACGGTGGATGATAGCCGCTTGTGAGTTTCCACATGTATAGAGGAGAGGTCGATGGCATCTCATGGGGCTCCGCACGTATGGAGAAGAGAACGCGGAGCCGTAATCCTTGGTTTGAAGTTTTTTTTCCTTTTTCTTAACAGATCTGATCAGACCATCAAACCAGGCGAAACTGTAGTCCTTGCAAAGCACTATGATATATCTCTGTGGGAATTTCGTTGTTAAAAAATTTCGATCATTGACATCTTTCTTCTTTCATGTGCAGAATTATTATTTCCGGAGATCTCTAAAGATTATAGCTTGCTTCTCAAACTTGTTTCCTTTGCTCTCAGCATGTTATTGTATCTCGTATGATTGGAATAACAAACTAAATTTAAATTGTTTGAATGGAATTGATATTGTGATAGTTACAGGATTGGTAGTTGGGAACTTTTATGTCATGTATTTGTTGTCATTTTCCTCTTAAGCACTTGCTTGCTTACTGCTTATCTTTTTTTAGCTTCTCCCTCTCATCTGCTCCATTCAGCTAAATACTTGATGCTTTCATTTTTTGCTCATACAATAAGAGTTCTGCCATTGTGGTGGATTGAATCACCCAGCAATGTTTTTCATGATGATTCCATCTCTCATGTTCCTGATAGAAGGGCCCATACATGTGGCCATATATGTCAGACGTGCAAGAGTTAAGATCACCCCTGAAAATCTTCAGTGTTGATTAAATCCACCAAAATAGCTTTTCCTACACATCTTGGTATCTTAGTCCCACATTCCTAGTTAACATTTGCTATTATTTTTGCCATTAGTGTTTTACTTTCATCATTTATCTCATTAGTCTGACTTCTTTGATCTTTAAAATGAGCAGCAATTTCATTTGGCTTTCAGTATCATGTTATTTGTGACAATCTTTGATCAGTATTTTCCAACTTGGACTTATCAGTCTGACCAAGTAGTGATATCAAAATACAGAGCTTCATACTGGTACAAAATGATTCATTTTTAACTTTTACTATTTGTTCAACAACACTGGACAGTGGACAGTGGACAGTACAAGTTGGTATACTGTCTGGTATACTAGTAGCATATAGGTCCGGTAGGTTACAGAAGCCAGTATAAATCCTTGGTGAACATGAAAATCGCTGTTGTCATACTTAATATTGAAGTTGATAGGTGTCTTAGTCCGAATTTTTAGCTTGCTACCTTTATATACCCTTTATATGCTTCCTTTGGTTTAAGTCTCACTTTTAACTAGTTACTAAACATTTACTTACATTTTTAATATATGAAAAGAAATCCGGCTTAGGGTTTAAAGATTCATGAACTTCAACCTAATGATCTATGAAGTAGAAATTTTCCTTATATAACATTCTCATCCTGTCAGGATTTCATTGTGACAAGATCTATTATTTTTTTATTTGAATCATAACTCAAATTGAGACACCATAAATACAGTGATATTGTACTCATGGTCTGTCATACCGAATCGTACCGCCTGGTATGGGCGGTATGTACCGGTCCGACAGGCCAGTGGTACGCGGACCGCCTGGTACCGGTCTGCACTGTAGCAGTGCTACAGTGCTCGGTACACCGTACCGTACCGATACCGATCCCAGGTCGAAATATCGGTACGGTACGGTATTGCGAACCTTGATTGTACTTATTGGAAAGACATTTTACAATTAAGTACTCAAGTATGGTAAAATGTCTCTGTACTTGGATTTCATCTAGCTGGATTTGGAGATCATGATGGTTGAAGTGAATGGATGATTGTCATAAAAGAAATGTATAATTGAATTTTATGGTCAATAAATGCTAAAAAAGAAATTTGGTAATAAGGGGAATACAACGGAGTCCAATTCATACAATATAGCAAAATGATTAAAGTAGATGAGTCATCTACCCCTTGAAAGAAAAATCTTATAACACAAATGTTAGACAAAGTTAGCTTTGGTTTCCAAGGAAAAAATATACATGTTAACATAGCAAAATGAGGATGCTTATTAGCTCTACAGTGCAAAAGACAAGAATACAAGAGGATTGCATTCAATTGGTTGTAGATTGCCCTGATCGACATTATTTGAGAATGTTGAGTAAAAAGTAGTTGCAAGGCAGTTAAGAAAAAACCCAGTGAATTGCCATATCCAAATAGGAGATTAGATAGGGTGAAAGAACTTGAGAAAAGGTATGAGGTCATTTAATTATCTAGAATTGCCATTAAAAAACCAAAGTATTGCTTCTGTGTAGCCAATTCGAAAATAAGGCATCTTGTTGTGGCTGTAATAAAGCTAGCAAAATTTGAAAATAAGGCATCTTGTTGTTGTGGCTGTAATAAAGCTAGCAGATATGAGAGAAAGCACATAAATGAGCAATATTTTTAAGTTTACTTCTTCCTATATTGCAGAAGAATTTGGTTCCTGTTGTACTGCAGTCCCTGGTGGTGTATTATGTGATTTACCTTATGCCTCGACTTGCAATGATCAGCAAGAGCGTCATTTTCCTCAAATTGAGTCAATTTCTATTATTTATCTAGTGTTTCCTTGTTGGTATGATATTGAAAAAGAATGGTTACCATCATATTACCTCCACACGCTTCAATTGTTGCATTTTCAGTTATAACATTTACGAAATTAGCATCCAGAAGCTAGTTGTAGTCAGTATATTGAGGGTTTCTACTCTTATGCTAACCCCTTTCTTTTAGCCATTTTGTACCAAGGTTCAAAAAATCAGTCAAACCAGTACATACAGATCAATATTTACCCGTCAGGTACAAAACTGATTTTTTATTTTTTTAATCTGGACCTACCCTTGACAGCCAAACAGCTGTCAACAGAAACGTCTTCTAATCCTCGGTCTCCTCCGCGTCCTCCTCGCTGGTACACTGGTGTGGCATGTCTTGTTACACTGGTATGTAACCAGACCTATACCAGTCTCGCTAGGGACTGGTATGTGTCTCAGACCAAGACGTGAACCTTGTTTTGTACATTATAGACTTCTAATACTTAATTGCAGTTGCATTTTGATGATATTACCAAATAGTAAATGGGACATCCTATCATCCTTGGTTACTCAGCTGCCCAAAGACGAACAAGGAAATAACTGCACCTCTTAATTTGTTTGTTATGGGATGTGCTCCTACTTCTCAAGACACTTCCCTGGTGCCTTTTCTTTTTCTTTTTTTTTTATTTTGAGATACTGAATGTGAGAGAAACATTTGCATACAATACTGTGATAAGGAAGCATGGACAGAAGACTGAGGAATATTGCATTCTGAATCATTGTTATTATCTGATACTGACCTTTATTAGCTCAATGGAAGCCCACCATGCTAAGCTAGTGGAGGAGATTTCAATCTTTCTTAAATCTACTATAACCTGAGTTTGAACTTGCTATTTACTGTTAAGATGTGGGCTTGATGTTCTTCTATTAATGTTTAGGCTGATAAAGGATTGAGGTTTCTAGCCTATATTTTGTGTAAGAAATATTGTAGACAGATTCTTTTGCCATTATTTGTAGGGAATAGATTTGCAGCTCAAGCATGTTTGTGCTATTGGGGTTTATGGGTGGAACAATATTTGTCAAACTGTTGTTGGACAGTGGCTGGAAGATATTGCTCACAATCAGGTTATTATCTTTTCTATTCATGTACTTGTGTTGGAGAATAGCTATGATAATATCTCAAATTTTCATGCTAACTTGTAAGTGTTCTTTTTTTTTTCTAGGTTCGTGAGTTACTGAAAGGGCTTCCTCCCGTAAAATCATTGTTTGCTGTCAGTTCTGGAGCTTCAAAGTTGGTTTCATTGCCTGTGAAAAGCTACAAGAAAGATCACAAGTTGCTGAAGGGAATGCAGAGAGGTAATCAAGTATTCATGTATTGCTTTCTACAGAGATGTTCTTGCCTCGCAACTTGCGTCTTCCACTTGTAAGGCTTTTTTGTAAGATAGATTTATCAGATGACTAGTTCATTTAAGTTTATTATTGTTTTAACCATGCTTTTAAGTTCTAACAGAACATGTGTTGTTTGCCAGCTACCAAACAAGACATTTGGTGTGGCAAACCATGCCAAAACTTGGCACAAGAAATAGAAGGAAATAGATAAACAACTACCAGAAAATTGAATCTCACTGTTCAAGAGAAAATGGTAGATCTGTCAGATATACCTAAATCTAAGTGGGAAGTTGAAAACAAAAGAATTTAATTTTAGCTTTAAATTGGAATAAAATGATTTGTTTTCCTTATATCATTTCTTATTCCTGTATGGGAGTAAATCTATCTAGAGAGTACAAGTAACAAAATGCAGAGTGTTGAAATATTTTGTGTCCAATAACATAGTGCTATGGATGGGTTGGGGTTTTGATTTTCCATCAGAAAAGTGTATGCTACCCCAAATGGACCAAAACCTGGATTCTTTGCTTTAAGATTAAGAGATCTTGAAGAAAACCTGATCTTGTAAGGGAGATGCAGTCCACTAATTTTGACTTGGATTTTTTCATGGAACGCTTTGACAAAAGCACTTAAGCATTATGCATTTGAAATATGAGCAAGTATTTACTAATTTTTCCAAATTATCATTCTTAAGGCAAAATAATTAGAATGTACTGAATTATAAACATTTGCAGGAGCAATGGCTTTTCTTAAGAGCCTATCAGTTGAAGCTGTTAGTCTGGGGGTGCATTTGGCAGCCGGAGCCCATGAGATCTTGCTCCAAACTGAATATATCCTTGCAAGCATTCCAATGTCTGTACCATTGTCTGAGATAAAGAGAAAAAAAACAGATGTAAGAACTAATCAGCCTGAAAATGCACAGGAAGGGATCCAGCAGGTATGCATTTTCATGCACCCTGTTATTAAGCTTTACTGCTGGGTACACTTTGCAGCTTCAAATGCTTCCCTTTTCTTTATGATCCTAGGATTTATCTTATTGAATGACAACGTTAAGTTCTGATGTTACAAGTTAACTAATGGACAATCAGACTTGTTTGTCCATCTTTGTATAAGGTGATACTAGTGATAATACACTATGGTCACAAGTAGTTATTTACTGCAAATGATGTCCTGAAGTAATGATGTCAGATGCAATAATCATAATATTAAATTCTTTAGTCTATTATTTTGATATTATTACAATTTTATGCTGTGCTACAACAATCATTCCATTGGCAGTCAGAACAAAGGAAATTATGGACCTGCTTTCACAAAGGAAATTCTTTAAATTTTATTTTGTGGTGGCTAAGTATGTACGTGTGGTGTTCTGGTACCGTGGTTGTTATAGAGTATTCCTTTGTCCATTGTAGAAGGAATTATTAAAGATCAGTTGTGAATTGTTTAGTTCTTTACAAATTGATGACATTTATACTTCTGTTTATAGGCTTACGAGAGTTTAAGCGATGGCTTTGGTAGAACTGCATCTGCTATACTTGGGACTCCCCTGAAATCTTATCAGCGTGGTGCTGGTGCTGGATCAGCTCTTGCAACTGCTATTCGTGGAGCTCCTGCTGCTGCTATAGCTCCTTTCTCTGCTTCTGCTCGTGCTGTGCATTGCACATTGCTTGGATTGAGAAATAGGTAAATTTTTTTGCATGAATTGGTTTTAGTGGAATGTCTGATGAACTAATTTATTTAACCTTTGGAACAATTTAATCGTAAATACTTCATTAATCATCTTATAAATATAAAGTAGTTTATGTAATGGTAAAACAATTACTTGAAAACTGAAATGCAATTACAGTTAGCTGTCCTTTTTTCAGTGCAAATAGGATCTTGAGAATATTGAGGTAGAGGAAGTAGGCAATTGTGTGAATTTTACGCAAAATTAAATTAACTGATTACTCGAACTATCAAATAGAAAATGATCAAAATGCATTTTGTAATTTTTGAAAATTATAAATTTCTTATTTTGATCTAGAAAAGTGAGTTTTTGTTCTAAATGTCTAAAATAATTATATAAAGATGTACTACAAATAAAATTGCAGAAAGTAGAGGTGAATCTTGATAGTTTGTGAAGTTTCAGAGATTATTTTTATCGACTAATGTATTTTTTATACAATAAAGGTGAATTTTAAATTTCGGTTCATTGTTTTCTTAATTATTTAGCTTTTAAAATTTTCATGTATTATTTTATTTTTTAAAATTTTTATGGTTTAAATATTTCTTTTGCATTCAGCCAAAGCTCTATTGGCCAATTCTGATCCCAATTATTATCTATCCAAAGGACCGTACCCCATCGCATTCCTTATCTGAGAACTTGGGCCCAACATTATTTATTTCTTTGATTGTTGTAAATTAAAATATTCTTCTTTATATTACTTTATATTTAATTCTATGTATTTAATGTAGTTAGTAGATGATCTCTTCCATTTGAACTCACTAAAACATATTTCAGGAACTGTTATCTACTTACCTTTATGTTTCTCTATTATTTGGTGGAAGAATCAGCATTATCTTGAGGAGTATATCAAGAGATAATTTGATGATTAGTTTTTCACATTCACTTTCGGTGTTAGAGTCCAATCATTATAAAAACAGTTTTCATCAATCTCTGCAAATAATCAAACACTTAAACAAAAGGTTTGTTCCACGTCCATGGTTTGTTTTCAATGCTTTTGTGGTGAACAATGCCCGTGCTTCTATTAAATGACGTTGCACTTGGATGCCACCAAATCATCTCTTCCAGAGTAAAAGGTAAGTTGACCATAGAAGAGAAGCAATCATAATCACTGACGTGTTTAAAGTTCTAAAGCGACCCAGATGGAGATTTTGGAATGTTGAGCCTTCCAAGTACTAATATTGTGCTGGAACTTAGACATTCCCCGCATTTGACCATGACATTACTAATATAGGATGTTGTAACTGGATTACATTAGCAATATTTATGGATGGATGACTAATCTGAGGATTCTAGTTGCTTCCTAGGTATAAAGCAAGAACTGGGATGTGTTTTTTTCCTTCATTTTTTCACAGAAGACTGGTACATTATGGTTTTATACTGGAAGACATCAATTTGACAACTTATTCCACTTTTCTCTTTAATTATCGAGGATAGAAAGTATTTGATCACCCAGAAGCCTAAGATTCTTTGTGAACAATGACTTTACTCATTGCAGCTTGGATCCTGAGCACAAACAAGAATCAAAGGAGAAATATTTGGGGCCTTCTCAATCGTAGGATTGCCAAATTTATATTCTTGGGGATTAAATTTCATGCATCCATGTATATTGCATTACAGAGCTGCTGTCTGATTTGCTGCTCAAACTTGCTCTATGACTGCATACTTCTGGTGCTGGTTTCATGGTTTTATAAAAGGGCTGACTACTGTACGTCCATGGTGCTGGTTTCAATTGCCCGTAAGGTATATATGCTGGTATGTTTTGAACATCTTTAAGCTTAGTCGTCATCATAATTGCACTTACATGAGATAATGATTTCATATTTTTGGCTGTTGCAGGTGTATAGTTCTTTAAGGGAGATTCTTTATGCGACAGAATAACATGGTAACCTTTGTACAGAATTAGGTAACGTAGAATGCTCGCCATTTTTTCGAGGAAATTGTGAATAGTGATTTTGTATATAAAGCGTGTTAATTGTGCTTTTTCTTCTCTCCCTCTCCCTGATGAAATTTTTGTCAATCATTCAAATCAACTTGCCGGGGCTTGCTATTGCTAGTGAATGTACATATGATTCTTGGCTGCTGTAACCTTCCTTTTTCGTTCGTTTTAGACATTATATATATATATATATATATATATATATATATATATATATATATATATATATATATAAACACAGCGTTTCACGTTGAGACCTCGTTACTACGCAAATATTCTGCCAAGTGATGAAAAGGATAGCAATCTTGCATCTTTCTTTGACACTATCAACACACCTCAAAGCAGTAATACAACGCAGAGGCTGGGAACTCAACAATTCATTATCTTGAACAACATGCTGAAAATTCCAGAACCGCTTGGGTAACGCAAACGAAGGCAATAAGGGAGGCAATTGTTGCCTTCCCTCCGAGAACGGCGGTTCGATCCGACCTGGTTTGATCCGAGTCTGTAATTTTGTTTCTTTAGATTGATTTTGGTAGTTGTAAGAGCGGTTGCTTCGGTCGGGGATTGGACTGGTCCAATGTAACATGACCCGATCAGACGCGTAGGATGAGGATCACCTGTTTATTAATCCCCATCAGGATTCAGGGTTCCCTACCCATCGTTCCCCGAGTGAGGAAACCCTGGGCCCACCGATTGTTCGATTTTGACTCACGACACAGAAGTCAACTCGGTTCGAACGAGAGCATGGGCGTGGATTATGCGGCTGGACTGACCGTGCCCTCGGCCGTGTCCTCCTCTGTCATCGCCATCGTCTCTCGATCGCCGTCTTCTTCGAGCTAACTTCCCATCTCTCGGCTTCGGCATCTCGCAACCTCCTCGTCGATCGATCTTCCCGTGGGAGGTCAGGATTCGATTCCCCAATTCATTTAACATAACAAGTAATCCCTCTTCCTGTCGTACCTTGAACTTTCTTATTCTCGTTGATCATCTTGTAATTTGCTTCGGCGCTGGACAGTTAAAGTTTTGTCACATTCTTCGGTTCAGGTGATTTCTTGATTGGCTTTTTGCGTGCGTGTTTGAGAATTTTGTTATCTTCGAGGTTGTTAGGGTTTTTCTTCTCGATTGGGTTGATTCTTAGTTTTAGTTTTATCGCATTCTTCGGTTCAGGTGATTTCTTGATTGGCTTTTTGCGTGCGTGTTTGAGAATTTTGTTATCTTGGAGGTTGATAGGGTTTTTCTTCTCGATTGGGTTGATTCTCTGTGATTTCTCATGGTCTGTGAAGAGAATTGTTTGTCCGTTGCAGGAGTTCTTGATCATCACAAGAACCATAACCTAAGTCGGTAGACTGTGTCTATGGCTCTGCGTCAGATTTTTGGGAGGCTTTCGGATAATCAGATCCCCGGCAGGATTTATCCATCCTTGGGCCAACCTTTTTATAGTGCTGCGTCGCCGAGTGAACCGATTCGTGCTACTCTCTTTCCTGGTGATGGAATTGGGCCTGAAATCGCAGAGGCTGTTAAACAGGTTTGAGGTTTTCTTATTCGTTTCTAATAAACTTCGAATCATCGACTTTATCAGGTTCTAGTTCATGTTTATTTCTTTACTTTCTAACGATGTTCTGACTATGTAACTCCGCAAACATTGATCTTGAAGGTTTGTCGGATGAATCTTGTTTGATTTTCATTTGTGACTCCTAATTTTATCAGGGAAAAATGAGGTGAAGTTTTCTTTTGAACCTTCAAATTTACTAGGAGGAGCATGTTAACATTGAATATATATTCATTAACCTTATCGCATATGTTTTCATTTTTTGATGATTAAGATCAATGGTTTAACTTGTCAAGATGTCCGTAGTGTCTTCTAGTGCATTGACAGTTGTATTCATTCTTTGTTGGCTTGATGTTCATGCAAAAGATCATGCTCAATAAAATAGACTTTTAATACTTGATTCAAACTGGTTGGATTGAGATCTACATCGTATCGGTATACTATACTAGCTCAACTATATATATTTTGGTGAAGATCAAGTTTCTTACAGCTTTGCATATATTGGTAAAGATGAAGCATCTTTGAGCATCTCAACCTCATGCCAAGAATGTTAAAGTCAGTTAAGGCTTTATGTTATCCATGTGCTGGATGAGATGGAGCCATTTTTATGGCCAGCCAGTTCATATGTTTTAAACAATAACCTGTTCCTTTGTAACTGCTTCTTAGTCCTTTTGTTACAAGGAATTACCTTTTTCATCTTCATTTTAGGTGAAGAAAACTTGAGTTGGAATATTTAAATACCTGATTATTTTTGACACAGGTTTGGTATTGCAGGTGTTTGGTGCAGCAGAGGTGCCCATAGAATGGGAAGAACACTATGTGAGTGACAAGGTGGACCCAAGAACAGAGAGCTTTCTGACATGGGAAAGTCTGGAATCAGTGCAGAGAAATGGTGTTGGCTTGAAAGGCCCTATGGCTACACCTATTGGCAAGGGACACAGATCATTAAATCTTACATTACGTAAAGAACTTGGTCTCTATGCTAATGTAAGACCTTGCCAAAGCCTTCCGGGATATAAAACTCGATATGATGATGTTAATCTTGTCACAATCCGCGAAAATACGGAAGGAGAGTATAGTGGTCTTGAACACCAGGTAATTCATGTACTTGAACCGAATGTTATTATCTTTGAACCCGTTGATGCCTGATAGTTAGGTCACTTGTCTAATTTTTCTATGTATGATGCACGCATGACGCTAGGTGGTCAGAGGTGTTGTAGAAAGTTTAAAAATCATTACACGCCAAGCAAGTCTAAGGGTGGCAGAATATGCTTTTCACTATGCCAAGGCTAACGGCCGACAAAGGGTATCTGCAATACACAAGGCCAACATCATGAGGAAGACTGATGGTCTCTTTCTCAAGGTATAATGCATGCAGTACTTAGCACTTGGCAGTCCCTTTTCAGACAGTGAAGAGGTTACTTCCTCTCGTTGGATTTGTTTTCAGTGTTGTCGTGAGGTTGCGGAGAAGTACCCAGAGATAACATATGAGGAGGTCATCATCGATAATTGCTGTATGATGGTATGTTTGGACTTCTGTGAAAATTTGGCTGTAGTTTTGTCACAACCCATATAATTGTTCTAAAAATTGATAACTTCTTATAGGAGTATATAAACTCGGAGCTGAACTTTTTTGTTATCATGCATTTTACATGGAGCTTACAAGTATTGTTGCTTATGACAGCTTGTGAAAAACCCTGCCTTGTTTGATGTATTAGTGATGCCCAACCTCTATGGAGACATAATCAGCGACCTGTGTGCGGGCTTGATTGGAGGCTTGGGCTTGACTCCTAGGTAACTTATACTTTGCCAGCTTTTTGGTACAAAGGGAGTATTTTTATATCGGTTGATTTCTTTTCTTCAGTTGCAATATAGGTGAAGGTGGCATTGCTCTGGCAGAAGCTGTTCATGGTTCAGCCCCTGATATTGCTGGAAAGGTAGGATCTTCTGTATCTTGAACAGTATTTGCCTATTTATTTTTCTATCAGCACTGCCAAACAACAAACTGATAGTGACCAATTTTGCAAGCACATGCAGTTACTTTTCTGTGGGTTAAATTGTCATTTACTTGTATGTCTGAATACAAGTATAATTCATCTTTCCAACTCCATAAACATGCCAAAGCTTCATCCATTCTGTTGTTGTACTAGTGTTTGTTTCTATTGTTTGATCATGTTGTGCAATCCGTGACTCCAGAATCTTGCAAATCCGACTGCACTCCTGCTGAGTTCTGTTATGATGTTACGCCATCTGAAGCTGAACAATAAAGCTGATCAAATCCAAAATGCCATACTTAGCACCATTGCAGAAGGAAAGTACCGAACCGTTGACCTTGGAGGCAGCTCATCAACAACCGACTTTACAAAAGCAGTGTGTGATCACCTCTAAGGATTTCATGGTATTTTGGACTAGTTATTGCACATAAGAATTCTATTCTGAGGCCAATATGAGACCCCTCATTGTTTGAGTTTCCAGCTCATTGCTTGACCAAAAATGGTGCTTTCAAAATTTTCCCATGTTATGTTCTTTCTACTTCTGAGGATGCATGTAATAATTAGTATACTAAAATGTCATAGGACATTTACCTGTTCTTCCTTCCTGAAGAGCTGCAAATAAGGATTTATGGAATTATGGTTTTAACAACAGCTGCAAATAAGGATTTATGGAATTATGGTGACATTCAATATTTGACGCCAAAAGAGAACAGTAACTCTCTTTTGCAAGGCAGAAAGTTGTGTTGAAATTATACGCAGTTTTTACCTCTGCCGAGGAACAGCTTTTGTGGTGTATTCTTTTGATCTTTATTTCCTTTAACTGGGTAAACACCAAATGCGACTTGCATGTGATTTAGATTGAGCATCGCTACTTTCAAATTATGTTTGATTGAAACCCAATCTTCCACTCCTGATCTAATAAACAAACTCCAAGAATTCAAGTGTTCTTCTAGTAGTTCAGGTGGAAACATAATCAGGAGAGGGCACGGAGTCTTTGGTGTTGGTTCTTTGCCTTGTGAATATTGACATCCATCAAACAAATGAATAGGTTGCCAAAGACAGCATGAGGATCATATGAATATGGTAGCGTCGTTTTGGCACTCTCAGCATCCATGAATGACATATGAAATCCATTGGATACTAAAGAATACCTTCATTCTTCCATTCCAAATGGATCTCTTAATTTATTGCAGCTGCTGCCTTTTTAATCCATAGCATGCAATTCTATGATGCAAACTTTTATCATATTCCATGTATTAAGACCACCCAAATCTGAAAATCCACTCCTAATAAGCAATAGGAAGAAACAAGATAAAATGTTTGTTCAATTGACTCAACAAATGAGTGCTGCGATTCTGCAAAACAGGAGCACCTCTACTACCAGGAGACACAAATTGATACATAACAATCTCACACAACCAGCTGATACTATCGAGACTAAAAATGGACAATAATTTATGAAACAGATAATAATTATGTATAATACAACAAGCTCGGTGAATGAATTTTGTAATGTACATGTTTTCTGCGTTGACGGTTCACGAAGGGTTAGATCCCGGGAAGTATGGTTACCCAAGCGGTTCAGATAGGACACCACAGGCTTAGGCACCAGACCATCATCTAAGCAAAGAGCCGCAAGCGTGTAGTTATGGGTGCTCGGCATATGGGGCATGTCGATAAAGTGGCACCACATTCCTTGCAAGTCTTGACAAACAGAAAGAATGAAAAACTTGTAAAAGCAAGTCATCCAAACTACTAAAGAAATAGAAACCACGATAAGGTATTTTCTCGCTCAGAAATTTGTCTCTTCCGTTTTGCATCACTGGAGACATCATCTTCAAGTAAAAGAGCAATATTGTAATGGGTAGCAGCACAATGGATTTGTAGACATGGACAAATTAATTTGTTGTTAGAATAAGATACGGTGGACTTTGTCAAGCTTAATGCACTTCAAAACCTACAATGGTCTCTAACATCATATTTGTGCCATGGTGCAAGTCTAATGCTGGATATTTCAAGCTAAATACCAATGGAGCCTTCAGTCCACAGAGTAAAGAGAGTCAACCCGATTTTCTAATTAGAATTGCTGATGGACAATGTGTTTATGCAGGTTTTTCGTATATCAAGGATGGTAGCTGCTGGCATTCATGAGTGGATGGCTGTCAAGAAAGGGTTGGAAGCTGCTATTCACGAAAGCATAGATTGTACTGTGGTTGAGACAAACACGAAGCTACTAGCCAATGTGCTCATCATAAACGTATTGCATTGCTAATGGCATCCAGATTGTTTTGGGTCTATTAAGTATTATTTAGGATTAGAGAGTTAAGCACATCTATGGAGAGGGTGACAAAAGTGTCCATCTGTTGGCACAATATGCTATGAATAACAATTTTTTGGTTTTTCAACAAAGGATAGGAATCGTGATTTTAGTGCCATTTTGTGCTCCGAGGAGCATATATGTCTTTTCTCTGTTTCATTAAAAAGGTTCTTCAATTAGAAAGATGTTCCATATTATGAGCCTTGGTGGAGTGTCTCCTGCTGTCTTTTCTATGGCTTCATATTGTTTCTATGAAAGTGTGAAGGCATTGCACAGCATTTCACCAGCAAAAACAAAAAAAAAGTATAAGATTGACTTATTTCATACAATGGCAAGACACTAAATGAAAAACCTACCAGATGGCCGCAGCCAAACGCCATATCCTTTGGGTTTGTTAAGCATATAGGGCAGACCTTAAAAAACAACAAAAAAGTTTGTAAGACAAAGATTGCATTGCTGATTGGCACATATTATTAACATACCATGAAAAAAGGCATTGACATGCCCTCATCCTACAGTACAACAATTATTACTGTAAAACCCTAAATTTTGCTTGGATAAGAAAAATATACCTGCTCTGTTGAAGCAGTGGAGCCAGCTGTCTGGGTATCTGCTATACGAGTAGATGACATCATTAAACTATCATGTTCAAGTACTTCCTTCGGAGGAGGAAGAATTTTTGGTGAGCTAAATCTGTCACTCTGGTTTCTGTGAGATAACCTTAAGTTTAATATGGAAGATATAGGACTGGAAAAATGACTGACAGAATCAGGTAATCTACACTATAAATACTAGGAATAATCAGAGGACTTACTCTTGAGGTCGGAGGCCTTGCGTGGCTTTATATTGAAAAGGTATTTCCATTAATGCAGCAAGTGCAAAGGCTGCTTCCTTCTTTGACATTTCCATTTTTGCACTCATGATATTTGTAAAATTCACAAACTGCAGAAAACTCAGATCCTTAGCCAGAAAAGAGAAAGAAGAAGATGCACATAGCTATGCTCAAAATAAAAAATGCAAGTTATCAGCATGTTGATGCATCACTGTTTCTGATTTTTATAAATAAACATATCATAGACAAACTAATAAAGGATCTACTATTGAAAAGTTGGACCGTGAGAAACATGAGTTCCATTTATCATAGAAAGTCAGGATTTTTATTCTCTCAGCAATCTCTAGCCTTAAGATACATCAACAGGAAATGTTTCAGCATTTGATTCACTTTTAATTGGTCATCAACTTTCTTATTAATTATTGCTCAAGGACAGGTGATTTCCGAACATTCAAGTCCATCTTTGTAGATGTTATAATACTAAGAGCATCCAAAGAAGGTAAAACGATCAACCTCATCTGCATATGAGTATTTAGGTGCCTAGCAAGCCTGACCATTGCAATAGACTAAGGGGAACTTATAGAGGTCAAATATATATCAATCAAGCACACTTGCATATGACCATTTAGGAGCATAGCAAGTCCTACTACCCTGGATATCTAATTTACCCCTCAAAAAATATAATGATTAAATAAACTGCTGCAAACATTGGAAACTTACATTTTATGTCCTTGACATTACATCACATTTGGATCCGATTTGCAAATATAAATTAACCCTGATGGGTCCTAAAATCAGAACTCACTAAGACCTATTTACATTTGCAAAAAAGGGTTCTGGTGACATTTAACTTTAGAAGAATAAAATGCGGGTTTTCAAGTGTTGTAGGAGTGTGTGTGTGTGTATATATATATATATATATATATATATATATATGACATTTGTATTTTGGAGGGGTGAATAGGATATTATGACACCTTGTAATTGGGTATACCAGAAATCTTCCTAGATGTTAATCAGTCCATCAATGTATTATATCACTCTCACATGTATTAAAAACATATTCCTCTTTAAAGTGAATGTCATAGTGCAAAAAAAGAGACCGCTGCCATTTTGGAGGGGTAAATAGAATATTATGACACCTTGCAATTGGGTATACCAGGAATCTTCCCAGATATGCATGTCCATCAATGCATTATGATATCACTCTCACATGTAACTAAGAAATCCTTGTTAAAAAGATATTCCTCTATAAAGTAAATGTCATAGCGCAAAAGAGAGATCAGTTGACAGTGATCTCCAGATATAGATATCAAACACTATTAAGGCTATTCATGATAAGACACATCCATGAATTACATCTTTGAAAACAACTACATTGTTGACTGTAATTATTACTATTTAAATTAATATATAATCTCATACATGACATTTAAACTCCACCAGTAAATAAAATTAGTTAAGTTAATATATGATCTCATACATGACATTTAAACTTACACCAGTATAATGTTCAACAACTGAACTCACCTGAAAATTATCAAATCTGCGTTCAGGAATACAATCATCAAAATGCTCCATTGTGTCCCATGGTCCATCACCAACACCAACCATAATTATTGATAGAGGAAAGAAACTGTACGATATAAGTGCTTCAGAAAAAAGCAATGTCACAATACACAAATGAGGATTCCAGTTAAATATTCACCTGGCATCAACAATTGCCTTCATGGTTGCACCTTCTTGGGGACTTAATCTTCCTTGTGGTACGTCTGAGTTCCTCGCAACCTGTGGTTGTCAACAAAGCAGAAAAGATAGAGAAAAATAAGCCAATTGAATACTCTTAGTCACAAAATCCTTTTTACCTGTCCATCAGCAATGATGACAAGAACATGATATTGCCAATTACTTTTTTTGACAATATCAATTGATGCCTGGATTACCGGGGCAAACGACGTTGGCCCTGCACATGAGGTAGAAAAAGGCAAAAATATGACCATCATATGAGCTTCAAACATATATGTTACCTTAATTGTAAAGTCTGTGACAAATACTTAATCAGTACACCCGTTTTCAGTGTTGGACTGCTTTGGCCTATAATGGACTAGCCTAAACTTGATTTACCCCAAACCAGCTATATCTTTCAAGTAACAACTAGTTTTTGACCAAAGTCATGTCATTTCAATTCTTAGCCAAAATAAAAATGTGCTAACTAGCATGGGCCAATACAACCTGAATTTTCAATCGTTGCCCAACACCATTTCATAGGACAGACATCAGATCTAAACATATCATGAAAACTTATTTTGATGTTTTATTAACAAAAACCTTTAGCAGTAAATCTCAGAATAAAAATGTATCTTCCAACTTGATGATTCAATGATTTCAACATTTGCATTAATTTCCTGCTCAAAAATTTGTATAGCATGTTTATGGATAACTTAAGAAAGTAGGAGTTCTGTGCAAGCTGGAAAATGGCATCCCTCAACTCCCTGATGAAATTAAATAATAGGTGAGACACTTGGTATCCTATGTGGAAACAACATCTAATAAAAAAAACAATGTCATGGATTTAAAAGGAGGAGCTGTTATCATTATAAAGAAAAGATGATGAACCTGGGTGGGCTTACTGCCCAGTTTTAGAGGGTTACAGGGCAGCAACCCTTGAACCGGACTTGAACAACCCAAAATGGACTGGCCCACATCCCATTTTCCCGTCAGACCCGTATCTACCGGTCAGTACAAACTGGTGTGGGTTGCTTTATATTATTTATTTATTCAGATTATAAATTGATAAACCAACAGGGGGCAAAGCTGCATCAAATTAGTAATATATTACATGTAACTTTTAGACCACGATACAACGTAAAAAAAATAAATGCTTGAGCATTAACATTAGTGTCGCTTTATCATTAGGGCTTGATGAATTGGTAACTTAGCTCTCAAAAGTCATCAAAACGAAAAAGATGTGATGTACACAACCTGAAAGTTTAAGGTGTGGCACAATATCTCTATATCGTGCAAGAGCCTCCTCAAAACCATGACAAGGACGATTATCAGGGTAAAAGCTGAAGACAGATTGCTCACGTGTAGATGCTAGCACATAAAAAGCAGATAGATAAGTTTCAGAAATAATTAATGCATAACATGGTATTAATGCTTCGAAGGGAAGAAAAGAGAAGAGGGGGAAGAAACACTTACTGTCACCAAAGCCATAACATGGTATCAGATTGTCCTCATCAAAAGGAGATAATGTACGCCCAATTATGGAAATGGCTTGTTCATATGGGTTAGGTGTACCACCAATAGCATGAAGAGATCTCCTACCAAACGAGTTCCTACCTAAAATCAATGCCAGGAATATCAGTCTACAATTACAAAGAAGTAATGCATTTAGAACAGCCAATGAGTCTTCAAAGAAAGTGGATCCCCTTTTTATCTTCATAAATTCAGTCCATCACCTGTCCATTCATTGCTTTTTGTGAAGTCAATACCAAGGATTAAGTTTGAAGACTCGAGGCCCGATTCTCTCAAAGCTGAAATAACCTGATTAAAGGAAGAAATTATTATTAAATAATCTACTGAAGATGTTGCATATCAGGAAAAAATGATCTACAAATATAGCTTCAGACTACAGTGAGATACTGAGGTTGAGTTCCCTCAGACCAAAAACAACAAGATTAACAATGACTAACAACAACAATAAAATGAATGTCTAAGACCAAAGATACGCATATTGTGGCATCCACTTCTCAAAAATGAGGTTTTAGCAGGATCTGAATGATAATCAACAACACTGAGGTTGCTGCTTGAATGAGTTCCCCACACCAGTTTTTCATTATATTTGTGCAAATTATAATACAGCTTTTACTACCTGTGAAAATAAAGTATACAGTTACATTTTAAATCCTGAATTAATTGATATTTGATAATACATAATTAGGAAGTTCTACAAAATCCATTAGAAGATTTGAAGGCATGATTTCATTCACAAACCTGGTCAAGCGAGGAAAAATTATCTGGAATAAATTTTGCTTGTTTCCCATCATGGCCTTTGGAGCCCTTGGAACTCCTGGAATGATGATGACTATGGTGCAAGTGCGTATGAGGTTTCATGCTCCTCCAAAATAGAGGAATTATATGGTACAATCTGCAAACCAGGAAAAAAAAGGACTAGATTTGAAAGTTATTCATTAGTCAAATCACAAATTCATGTTAGATGCAAAACACAATAATCATTGAATAGCAGCAAGAAATCAGACTGGTATGGGGCGGTATGGTTGGTATCATCCTCGAATAGATTGTATTAGTTATTGATATGGATTACTCATAAATTAGCAACACATTGTTGCAGGAAGTCATAAAATAGATCGGTGAGAAAACCGCTATGTAGAACTAGAAATATGCAAATAATGATCAATACAAGATTATAACTACAAGGAACCCGTACTTGTTAAAGACCTCTTCTCTTCTTATGCCAAAAGGTAATATCCATATATCGAACAAGCAGTTAAACCAAAGAAATCAATACATCTAGTACGACAATGAAATGCTCCCACATTATCCCTCGGTGAGAGCCAAGCCGGCAGTAATTATCTCCAAACACGGGTTGCAGCATACAGAAATTCCCACGACAAGCAACCTCAACCCTGAATTCAACGTGAACTGACCCTAAAGATGATGAAGATCCCGCAATCGCTCAATATCACTCGCCCTGACAGGTTCAAAAGACATTTTAAGCAGGAAGCCCAAGGAACCATATCAGCTTTTTCCAGCCCTAATTTGCTCTAATTCTTGCTTTATTTTTCCTTCCAAAAAATCAATTCCCCAGAACAAAACAGCCAAATCAAGATTACATCGAGTCAACCCTTCAAAATGAGATTCAAGATCACAGGTTATCGACTTACAACAGCCAGAAAAAGAAACGACTAAAGAAACAAAAAGAAGAAGAGAAATCAGAGAAGATAGGGTTCGCGAGGAGGGATGAGAGAAGGTGAGGAGAGCTTTACCTTGCCGATCGCTGTTGATTTCCCGATCTCTTTAGTTCTTATTATAACCGCCGCTTCTTGGCGTGCTCGATTTAAGTCTTGCGGCGGTCACTTCACGCCTTTCCTTCAACCGAGAAGGCCTGAGGATCCGCTCAAATTATCGGTACGGGTCAAAACGATCTTTCACCGCCCATGTAGATGGGACCCACGATTCAACGGACATGATGCGCGAATTGGAGCGTCTTCGGGATGAGCAGCCACTGGAGAGGATCCCCGGCTTCCGTCATCGCCTCCCACTCACGGCGGCGGGATCCGCTGTTGCTTGTCGAACGGGATGCGGATTGATCCGCACACGCGGAAAGATGCAGCAGCTCGGTCCCACAACGGGACCCACTCGCAGCCACAAATTCGGCGGATATTTAATGCACTCATCAAACCCCGTAATAATAACAAAACTAAGTCATAACTATTTAAAATCGATTATATATTTTTTTTAATCATCATTAAGAATATATATATATATATATAATTAATTAAATTTAAAATATTTAATTTTTATTTCTTATTTCTATTAAAATCTTACTCTACCGATATATATTATCTTAAGTGATTTTTAACTGATACCTAATTATTCATAAATAATTTTTTATTTTTCTAATAACTCTGTATATGTTGTTTTTTAACTACGCAACTCATCAAATCCTATCAAGATAAAATAAATAAAGTCTATTTATATACGTTATTTCTTAACTTTCGAGCTCGATAGATAAAAAAAAGGAGTCTAAAAACATTTTTTCAATATATCCACATATATATTTAATTTAATTTAATTTAATGTAATATAGAAGACATAATATTCGTTTCCTGGAAATCAACTAGAAACTACATTTCACAGAAAGATCTCATTAGATGGATAACATGATCAGCTAGAGATATTGGATCGGAGACAATTGGATCTTCAATGTCGAGTCCACCCAATCAGTGCGAGAAACACCGCTATGATGTTGCCGGTGATCAGCCCCCTCAGAATTTTCTGCTTGTGTGCCGTATATGGAGGGTACCTCATAGAAACATCGCCACCAAAACCACGGCTCAACACCGCCTTCTTGTGACTAAATGCATCAAATGAGAATTTTCCGTGGTAAGACCCCATTCCGCTCTCTCCTACGCCACCAAATGGCAGACGAGGGTTGGTGACCTGAACCACATCAAATATGTTTGTCACTTTTGTCTTCTTTATGAAGTTGTAAGATGTTGGATGGAATGATTAGTGTAATATGTGCCGTGATTTGTTTTGAATGCTTGAATGCCACACAGAAGTAATAAGTCGAGAATTTGCTATGAAACTATAGGCACATGAGCATGCATGCAGTGAGGAAACATATTTCTGCAACACAAGGAAAAATTACTTGTAAGATTGTGTCATTGATGACCATTCCCCCCGCGGATACACTTTTCACAAACTTCTCTTCTAATTTCCTGTCCTTGGTGAAGAGATAGGCAGCAAGCGGCTTCCCTTTTGAATTTATAAGACCAAATCCCTCTCGCAACTCATCAACCTTTGTGAATCAGAAAGAAAAATAAAAATCATAAAGTATTATCTACCAACAGCAAGCATCTTGATCAGATCTTATGTAATTGAGAAGTCTACATGACATTCAGAAAATGCTGAACTCGAAGAATTATAAATGCTCACCGTGACAATTGGAAGTAGGGGGCCAAATACTTCCTCTTTCATTATTAGTGAATCACTGGGAACATCTAATAGGATTGTAGGAGCGATTCTTCTGCAACCACATCGAGATGATGTCACAAAAGAATAGCTTATCTTATCGGAAATACTATTGCATACTAGGCTTACAGGCGCTTTTCATTCCGCTGGCCTCCATGGACAATCGTGCCGGAAACCTTTTCATCATCCAAAAGATTCATCAAGCGTTTGAAATGGTTGGAGTTCACGATGCGAGATAGATCTGCTGATTCCAATGGATCCTTGCCGTAGAATTTCTCCAAAGTTATTTTTAGAGCATCCACCTGCAGATGTTACATCAATAGTTGGTCGATAGACAAGCAAGGCATAATACCACCAAACTTTTGTTCTGAAAGGGATACCAATTTTGGAGCAAATGATTTTGTTGTAATAATATAATCCGGTGCGATACAAGCTTGTCCGCTATTGCATCCCCACTTGCCCGCAACAATTCTCCTTGTTGCGACCTTATAAAACAAAGCCCTATTAGCTTCACAAATAAAGCAGAATCAGCATACAACAAAGTAAATTCGATGCTTTCCTTCAATTATCATACTTTGATGTCAACATTGGAATCAACAAGAACAGGACATTTTCCTCCAAGCTCCAGGACTACTGGTGTTAGATGCTTTGCAGCTGCAGTCATCACAATACGGCCTACTCTTGCGTTGCCTGTAATGTTATCACTGTATTTCTAATTATACTGCAACTTCATGTCTAAGCCAAGTGCACAGAACCATAAAAGAGTCACCATTTAGTTTACCCCACATTATCCAAATTGGACTAGTGAAAAATGGAAAATCTTTATCTCATATATGCAATAGCTATATCAAAAGTCCTAGAAGTACATATGTAAGCAACATGTCGACCAACAATACATTCTAGTATATGATTTTTATAGGACGGAAGGTAGAAAATAATAACCTGTATAGAGTATTTTATCAAACTTCTGATCCAAAAGTGCTGTTGTTTCAGGAATAGATCCTTCAACTACTCTGATACAAGAGTTATCTACATAATCTGGTAGAATTCTTGCGAAAAATGATGATGTGGCTGGTGCAACTTCTGATGGCTTCAAAACAACAGCATTGCCAGCTGCAATGGCTCCAATTACAGGGTCAATGGATAACACTGGCAAAGAGGAAAAAAAGAAGTTATCAACCTTACTACGAAAAGTTATCATGAATGTAGAATGTTTCACCAAATCCGTAGTTATAACATTAAAGCAGAATTCTCGAAACGAAATCAGTAGTAGACTAACAGAACCTTAACCCAAAACAACCAATGATCGTCTGAAAGATGACTTTTAAAAATAAGTTATCAGATAAAATGAAAAAGGGCCCTCAATAAGAACTGTCGAGAGAAAGGTCTACAATAACTAGCCCCAAATAGTTGGAACCATAGATCTTTATTTTGTTATCATTGTTGTTGTTGATGCTTTTCAAATATTCTACTCTGCAGAAATTTTTAAAATTATAAAACATACACATATGATTTTTTTTTTTTTAGAACAAAATCCTCCAATGGCTTAAAGAGTTAGTTTTTGTTCATTCAAGAGCATCACTTAGGGGTATTGTTATCAAGACTTTGAAAATTAGAATTCTTTAATTGACTCTAAAAAAACAAGTTATGGATTAATTCTTCTCTCAATCATTTATATCTTTTTTAACCAATCATAAACTACAATCTTACCTTTTGTGTTGTTCATGTGCATCATGCAAGATCTTATCTAGTAGCTATATAAACAAAGTCTCATTAGAATTGGCAAGAATTTATACTTTGCGTGCCCAATTAACAACATAAACGAACAATTTTTTTTGTTCTGCAACACATCGATCATACTCACTTTCAGTTTTGTAAAATATTAATACAGAATGATTCTCCACTTACAAAAGGGGTAATTCCATGCTGAAATGATCAGCACAACACCAAGGGGCTCTGACACCACTTTTGCTGATGATGGAAAAGTTGTAACCGAAGTCGCCACCTGCGTGGTTGTTGCAAATGGTGATTTGAGCAGGTTAATTTCTAAAATTTATCGATCATATTTGTCTACATAAATGTGTATTTGTACCTTCTCCGGTTTCATCCAGCGTTTCAATTCTTTGAGGGCAAAACGGCATGATTCCCTTACCATTGAAATCTGCCAAATGAAACCATCAGTCATATATGAACACAGACTTCACTACATATCTTTAGAAGGGTAAAAGCAAAACAAATGCAAGCAGATAGTTAAAAGAATGATACCAAATATATATTTGTTAGAGCCAAGTAAAGAAGCAATGAGGCTCTTGCTTAATGCTCCTGTATCAGCTTATGTGTGAGACAAAAGATTAGCAGAACTCGATAACTGCAGAATCTTGTGCAAATAGGAGAGTATCCGAATTAATTGTTATAAAAAGGTAAATTCGATTGACAGCAACAGTAATTTCGACGACTGGACATGTCAAATATTTGGGATAAATTACTGCTTAGGAAGATGCATGAACCTAAAGGTTCATATAAGATCAGACATCAGTTTCAAAGGTTTGCATTCACAATTTGGACGATATTGGGAGAGCATGTCAACTCAGGAACTGAAGGAAACGAAAAAGGACAGAATCTTATGTCAATCTTCCAAAATAAGAAAAGAGAAAGATTCTGACTCTGCCTGCCAGTGAAATATCTCAAAGATAACCATATTAACAATGTCCAATGTTAGCATGGGAAGACAGAATGACAACCACTGACACCTTAACAAACTACCACAAGTAAGATGAATCAATCCTCAATCTCTATATGAAGAGGACATCAAAGGTAAGACTAGCTATATCGACATAGTTTAATTGCAAACAAGAACGTTTTCGACAATCAATTACAGTTCCAGCTTCTCTGTGCGGCTCATGCTCAAAGTCCAATGCTTTATTCCGCTACATGTAAATTAGTAAGAAGAGCAGCAGCTTTCGCCAAAAGCAGACTCCAATCAAAGTTGATGTATAGGATGAATTGGTTTGCAGAGTTCAAACTGGACCATAAAAGACTTTTTAAGCTTCGGGCGATACGTTCTTTCGCAATACGAACATAGCGATGCAGATAAATCGCCCAAAAGTTCCAGCTATGGGATCCAAGATCGAACCTTTCTAGATCAGAAAGCAAGTACGAGACCAACGAAGAGATAAATTAACCAGACTGATAGGAAAAAGGAAAAGTCCAATCCTGGAGGACCTCGCCAATGAAAGATTCTATCTGGGGTTTGGCGAGGTCGTCATCGAGCGCCGCCGTGATCTCCGCCTCCTTCTCAACGATCAGCCTCGCGATGCCCTTGAGCTGCGCCACCCTCCACTCGAAGCTCCTCGTCCTCCCGGACTCGAAGCTCTCCCTCAACTCCGCCACTACTTCGGCCGCCCCCGCGCCGTCAAATCCTCCCTCCATCGCCTCCTCCTCGACCTCTGCGCCGCCGCCGCTTTAACGAGAGGAAATCGTGAAGACCAAGGAAGTTTCAAATCAGTGGGCAAGGAGAAGAGTTTATCGTGAAGATGGAATCTTGGTTTCGATAAGGCCAGGAATAGATTGCAAGAGTCCGTGAACAACAGTATCCACCACAAACGAGCACTCCCACGTGAATGGGCAAAGTTGTAATATTGACACCTCATGCATACTTCAATTAATGCCTGCATTTATTAATAAGATCCATTTTTCCCAAAATAATAATAATATGTATTTCGATATTTGGGTAATTGTAGTGAGATGATATCTCAATTATATGAAATCGAGTAGACGGGACCCACAGAGGCACAGCAGGAAAAGAGTCGAAACCACGTGTCCTGCATGGATAGGTAACATCCACGTGTGCACGCACACCGATCATTGTGCCTGCCACGTGTGATCCAGAGAATCCTGGTGCTGGATCCTGTTCTGAAAGAACATGCAGTAGTACTTGCCTCCGTAGATTTTGATATACTGTATATTAATTATTCTTTATTGGCTACAAATTTAAAGATAAAAACATAATTAAAATATACAATATCATCATTATTGAGCCTAATATCAATTATAATTTAAACATACAAATGGACAACAAGAGGAGATTAATTGCAAACCGCACCATTGCTACTGAATTAGACTTTTATTGCATCTTCCGGTAATTAATTACATCCAAGCATAATAAATTATATGCAATCCCCTGTTATCATTACAGGATGGTGATATGACCATCTGCAATGTTTGAAAGCGTGAGAGACCGTCTCCTTTTCCTGCACATCCACGTTAAGGGAAGCAGTGCAGCATCACCGGGAGGAAGCTCCAGGCTTGGGGAGCCTGTCGCAGCCGATCTGAACCCACCCAATGTGCTGCCTCTCGTTGTCATAAACGACCATGCGGTCTTGCATGGAGATGTCTGCAAACACCCGACAAGCAAATCAGAAGGTTTACCAGTTGAGGTCTCAAGGTTTACGGGTCGTTTACTTACCTCCAATTATGTTGAGGTCTTTGTTGAGTCCAGCTTCGGTGCCATTGAGGATTCCCAAGCATGCATTCCCATGTTTCTGCAATCGAATAATCGGATTGATGTTCTTGTGATTTTTGTTGGGTAAGAGAGAGGTTGCAGGTGCTTACAGTGATGATCAGGTAGTTCTCGGGAGGTACTTCGAGCAATGCTCGGTTTCCATTCACAAAGTTGAGAGCTAGAGTCTTGAAGTACTTCTTGACATCCTTCACGGACTTGAATGCCTTCGGCCCTTTCCAGCACACCGGAAGGGTTGGGTCATCAAACTCCTCCTTCAGTGGTTTCTTGGAAAGATCACTCTTCACCTGCAACTCCACGCATCAAATTCCCGGCTTGGAAGCTATCATAGAACGAGCTTCCAAAGAGTGAAACGAGTTGTTATTTACAGCCGAGAGGAATGCTTGGTAGGGCTGAAACCCAAAGTAGGTGAAGGTGCTCCCGGTATCGAAAACCACCTCCATTTGATTCACTCCCAGAGACCGAGTGCCCCAGTAGAGGTTTGCTGGCCCAGGTGAGTAGTAATTCCTGATGCAATCCAAGGACATCAGTGTTCTTACTGCTAAGGCATTGCGACAAGTCCAGCCGAAAACCAGCTCACCGGGAGCGAGACATGGGCGCCCAAGTCATCCGAGAGGTGGGAACGAAATCATCTCCGAAGAAAAGATAACCTCCTCCCTTCCCGCCGAGACAGTGACCCATGACGTTCTTGGTCACCCCTTGATCGCTCAGCTGCGACAGAACGCTAATTTTCCCGGTGCCGAGGCCAAGAAGTCCGTCGGTTGGCGTAGGGGCGTTCTGTATCGCGAACTGCTGATCGTACCCACACCTACGTATACCAAGTGCGCGGTGTAAGGATCGCCAAGATGGGATTTTTTTATAGAAGCTGGAGTGTGGCTACTGACCCGAAGGCAAAGACAGGGCGGACGACGGTGGTGTTGATCAGGCGGAGATTGAAGGCGTCGGAGATGAGCACGCCAAGGGAGGAGCCGCGGTCTTCGTACTGGATCTGGTAGTCGCATTGGTCGCAGTTCTCGTCGTGGATGGTGCCGACGTGGAGGGCGGCGCAGAGGGGGTCCCTGCAGGGCACCAGCTTGTTCCTCGTCGGCCGGTACCACGGGTGAGGCCCCTGAGAGAGTCACCGAATCAAAAAGGAAAGGTACGGTGAATGACATTCGAGTTTGGAGAGGAACAGAAGGAACATGTGCATAAAGGTCCAACCTTGGAGCATCTAACGCAGGGAGCGTCGCATTGGAGCCAGGTGAGGTCGCTGCCGGTGTCGATATCCAAGAAATAGGGCTTCGGCGGATCGCCAATGCTCATCGCTACATAGTACAGCCTGCGAATTCCAATACCACTCAAGAATTAGACCCCGTCTATCGACTCAAACTGCACCCCGCAGACTTACCCGTGCGGGTAGACATCGCCGTAGATGGGGAAGACGACAGAGGAGGGATCCCGGCGGCCGGTATCGATCGGCAGCTGCAACATCAGCGGAGGAGAGTCCGAGCCCTTCGCCTTCTTCGTCGAGGCGGCGGAGGCGGAGGGCGAGATCGCGGCGGTGAAAGCTAGCAAGAAGGCGATTAGAAGCCCTTTTCCGGCGGCCGTCCAGCCTCCCATTATCCTACGATGGAGATCGAGCAACGAAACGTAGGTGGTGCGCTGCTTCACAGGAATGCGACGGCGGGTATCTACGGCCGCCTGCGGCGCGGAAGCGGAAGGAGGAGAACGGAGAGGAGGTGGAGGTGGAGGTGGAGTCGCGACGACTCGCTCGCAGCTTACGAGCCCTTACCCGGCGGAGGTACTATTTATACTACAATTCTTTATTTATTTTCTTTTATTATAATCAATTACTGCTATTTTCTATCTCCTAAAATAAAGTACGTAATCAGTTCGTCATATTTCAGCTGCTCCAATTCTGACCATCCGATGGTAAATCAACGGAGACGATGCGGTGGGTCCCGACGACACAAGGAACGATCTCGAGGCGCGCGTACATAACCTTTCGCCACCCAAACTTTCTCACCCAACGTGGCTCTCTCGAACGGGGACCTCATCTCGGGGCCCACGAATCAAAGGAAACTTAAAAGAGGAGGAGACGGAGAGTGAGTAATACTATAATGGTATTAATGTGAGGTTGGGGGGGAAGGGGAAGGCATAAGCCGCTTTATTCGAAGCTTTGGAATGGCTTTTGGTTTATCCGAGGCGTCGTGATTAAACTAGGCATGCGCAAAGGAGATCAAAAGGCAATATGCCTTTGTCTGCTCCTTGCAAGGCATTAAAATTCCTTGTCGCAGCTTATTTCTTCGTTTCGACGTAGATAGAGAGAGGAGAGGAGAGAGAGAATACCTTGAGCTTAACATCTGATACATTCAAGATAAGTCGAATGAGAATATATATATATATATATATATATATATATATATATATATATATATATATATATAAACTATGGTATGTAATAGCGAATGATGCCATCCGGTACGAGCGATACATATCGGTCC